TTAGATTTAAAAAATCAGGCAGTATCTGTTCAGAAGAGAAAGGGAAAAGGAATTTCAAGCGTATGGAAAACTGGAGAAGAACAATACGGAGGAGTTACGGTTGTGGGATAGAAATCATTTGTTGACATCCTCCTTTCCAAAGGATTCAGAACTGTCTTACAAACTGAATAGGGATCGCTCTTCTGTAAACTACACTGCTGTGAAGTATGGAAAAATGCAAAGTGGTTGTGTCTGCCCTACTATTGCACAGTATGAGGAATGTTGGTGGATGCTGCCCCAAACACAAGTTCAGCAGGGGAAGGCTGAGCACATCATTTGCTCAGAGTTTCAAATACCTGTTTCTGTGAAAACTGCAATAGAACATGCTGTTGGGACCTCAGTTTTCTATCTTTGCTAAATTATTTATTAATATCATTTTTATTATTTTAGTCCCCATTCGGAGCACTGCATCCAGGCCTGGTCTCCCAGCACAAGAATGATGTGGAGCTGTTGGTTCCAGAGGAGAGCCATGAAGACGATCAGAGGGCACCTCTTGTGAAGAAAAGTTGGAAGAGCTGGGCTTGTTCAGCCTGGAGAAGGCACCAGGGAGATCTCCCTGGGGCTACTCAGTACTTGAAGGGAGTTTATAAGCAGGAGGAGGACCAATTTTACATGGTCTGATAGTGATAGGACAAGGGGGAATGATTTTAAACTAAAAGGGGGGAGATTTAGGTTAGATATTGGTGAGAAATTCTTTACTCAAAAGGAGATGAGACACTGGAACAGATTTCTCAGAGAAACTGTGGATGCCTCATCTCTGTAGGTGTTCAAACCAAGGTTGACTAGGGTCCTTGTCAGCCTGATCTAGTGGCAGCAGGGGTGCTGGAATAAGATGGTCTTTAAGATCGTCTCCAAATTAAGCTATTCCATGATTCTATGATTGATTCTATTATTTGGGATAGTCTGGAAGATGCTGTGAAACAGTGAAAGTCAAGTGAGCTGCATTTCATCATACATAATGTTAAGTGCTGATTTGCTATGGAAAAACTGGAGTTGCATACAATTTATTTTCACATCAGCCCTAGGCCCACCTTTGGCAATACACAGTAACAAGCCCTCATTGCTGGATTTGCTGCTGTTCTCCCATGTGCCTGCCCAGTGGCAGATGGAGAGGAGAGTGGGGAGTGCCCAGTGTTGAAGGAGTACCTGAGGGTGGTGATGCCTGAATAAAGTGGACACTGCTTGAATACTGCTATGCAGAGGGTTTGGTTTATTTTCGACTCAGTGACAGTTTCCTGCATATCAAATTCCTGCATATCACTGTTTTTTGCATTGCTTCTGTTTTTTTCCTTGATGATTTTCTATCTAAGGATCAAATAATGCTCACCTTGATTAATTATTCCCAGTGTGAATGTATATACACGTCTTCCTCCCACATAAGGCTGTACTGCTGCATAAATCCCAGCCTGCTGGAGGGGTGGTGGAACAGACCACAGAGCAGGGAAAGCAGCAAGAGCTTTGCAGACTGGTATCTGGCTAGGACTGGGGGTAAAGCCTCATGGCAGGTAGCTGGTGCTGTCTCCCCTAACAGACCCAAAGTGTTTACTGAATCTGTGTGTTTAATAGAGACATCACGTTCTCTGACCTGATTTCTTCTGGCAGCCTACTATTAAATTCACCCCAAATATTAGCACAGTGAGAATTTAATAACATATTGCATAATTGTAACAAGCTATCATAAACACTACAGTCATACATATTACACTATACAGAATGAATGTATTATTCTAGAAAAGATTCCTTTGCTATTCCCCAGTAATATTGGTCTTGGTAAAAGTAAAAATGGTAATAATGAATGCATTTTAAAACAAAATATTTGGTGCTTGCTTTATTCTCCACACAAGTGAGGAGGAAAACAAGGAGAAGGGGAAGAAGGAGAAAAAAGGAGAAGAAGGAGAAGGAAAGAGAAGGAGAGCGCAGTGTTTTCCCTTTCCACTTCACATTTTATTTAAATTGCAGATCTATTCAGTTCTGTGATGAAAATACAAACAAGCTCCTGAAAGCTGCTGTGTGTGACTCAAAGGGATAGATGCAGGTCCTAACCTTTAATCTGCCTCACTTGCTCCTCCAGGATATTTTCCAAAAGCTGTTTTTCTGCACTCTAATGTCCTGCCAGTCATAATTTGTATTTCTGGACACATGAAAGAACTGTTTCCTGTCTCCAGTGAAAAAAGGGAGAAAAAAAGTATTTGAAGTCAGAACTAGGTTTTCTTTCAAAGCTTACTACGGGAAAACAAAAGCCATTTCCACCACAGGCTCGGCTCTGTGAGACTGACTGCAGGCAGGAAGTGTTAACAAGCTGTGCTCGGGGCTACGCTCCTCTTTCCATCCAAGCACCAGCTCGCACTGTGAGGTGACTGCTGATCCATGACCCATCTCACCAGCCCTATATCACAAGCCCACCTCTTGTGTGGGCCTGGAACTTCATGGACGGGAGCTAATCATTGATACGAAGGCCTTGCCTTGGGAGAAGGCCAAGTGGAGGGGAAGGACCCACAGGCTGCAGTGGTGGGCATTCTGGGGTCCTGCTAAGCCTCCAGAACCTGTGGGAGGTGGTTGGTGCTGCTGGGAGAATGTTTGTGGTTGGGAATTTGGTGCCAGAGCTGTGTTTAGAGGTGCTGTTTTATGTGTAGCAGCTTCCCCCCACCACTCCTCTAATCTCTATTACATATCTACAGACAAAACAGCCACTTGGCATCGCATTGCGGATGTCTGCAACTTTTGCCAGGACGTTGACCGGAGGCCAGGAACTTGGGTGGAGACAGGAGCCAGAAGGTCATCTGGGGTTGCTGTTCTTTGTTAGAGCTAAATAACATTGTGAACGTATTAAGCTCCTTTCCATGCACTGATTTTTTTTTTTTTTTTTTTTTTAATACCTTCAGTAGCTGCCTTTTCTTTTTTATTTTTTTCCCTTTCTAGGCCGGACTCATGTACAAATGCACAAGGCAGAGCAGCCTGCTTGCTTGTATTTAGCATGAAACCCTGTGTCTGACGGTTATTTTTGAAAGAAATGAATGAAATACTCCTTCCAAAGGTCTCGTCTGCAAGAGCAAGACTTGGGGTTCTTTGCTACTTTCTTTCCAACACTGAAGAGGTGCTTACCTTCACACTATCATACAATCATTATTGTTCCCTAAGAAGAGAAGTTAAAAAATAAAGATGCAAGCTGGCTGAAGCAAATGGTGGTATCTGGAACTGAAGACCTGCAGCTGGATCCTGCAACACTGCTGAGCAGCAGTTCTCATGCTACTGGAGCCAGTAGGGACTGAAAAAACACAAGAAACACAAGAAATACCTGCATTTAGTAAGATGATGTTATTAAATAAGTTCTGCCTGTGTATAGGTTCATCTACCTGTAAGACAATGTATATTATTGTATATTTTTGAGCCATTAATGTGGATTCCCTTCATAAAATAGACTGCTGATGAAAGTAGTTATCTATATGATGCTTTCTTCCAATGTCAAACTACAGCAAAATAATTACATGCTTACATAGAGACTGTAAATTATGTGGTTTCAAGAAAATCAAGTTTCATTCTTTTTTTCGACACTATGGCAAGAGCATTAATGGGTGGACATGTGGAGCTCTGGGACTCACAGCAAAGCCTCCTATTCCAGCATAAGACTGACACTGCAGTGGCTGTAGTGCCTTCCTCCTTTTTTAATTCAAGTATCCTTGTGCCCATGAACATGTACTACACATTGAATTCCATCCATCTCCTACTCTCCTTCTTGGGATTTGACAGCCACGGGAAGTGTGTTGTTGCTGTTGATATTGGGCAGCTTTTTTGGTGCAAGACCCCTCTTGCAGGAAGATCTTGGTGTCATGCCCAAAAGGCAACGGATACACTGAGTTACCCAGCTGCTGCTCTGTTTCATTCCCAGAACAGGATTGCTTTGTTTTTGGCCAAAAAGTCCTAACAAGTAAGATGCAAAGATATCTCCCTGTATTTGTATATAGACATATATACATAATAAAGAATAATACATACATTAACATTATATTATTTATTAAATAATACATCTGTTTATTTTTTCATACATATATGCTTTTCTCTGGAGTCTCAGTTGATGAGAGGTATTGTAATACAAAGCATTATTTGCACAGCTCAGTTTATCCAGACTGGTATCATTTTCCAGAGACATTATCTAATTCTAGCATCCGAAAGACTGTAAGAATAAGATTTCATGATAACGATGTATTCCAAAGGGAGTAGGACTGTGTAAAGGTAAAATGGATTATCTTGATTTGCAGCAGGCAAGGTAAAAATTCCCCACAGTCTCTCAGTCCTACATCTCAGACTCTTTATGCTGCTTCACTGTTTGGTATGGCTTCTTTATTTTTTTCTTTTAAAGGCAAGACAAATTGTCTAGCCACAAGTATTCAAACTGCTTTTAATCTGAGTCAAGAAATGTGCTGTACTGCTTGGCTGTCTTTAAGGTCAAATATTATAGTAACTCTGCAAATGGTGTATTGGCCAAAGGATGAGCTGCAGCTTAATGTATCTACCTTGCTCCAATGTGCTTGACTTATAGCTCCCAAGTCCCCTTGCCAACAGGGGCAGAGGGAGGCCCTTTTGCAGTGACACAATCACTGCAGCCCCCAGCCCCATTTTGACTGCAGCTGTGGCTTGGTGAGTCTGCTCCTCTTGGGCAGCCTGGCAAAAACATGTCTGCTGCATCCACTCTTGCTAAAGTTAGCTGAAAACTCATCTAGCTGAGATGAGCATTTAAATAACTTTTCTGTGGTTTAAGAAAAGGACAGTTTCACTGCAGCTGGGTTACTGGGGGGCCCAGACAAGCTCTGTGTCAAAACAAGCTGGTGGGAGAAAAAGGGAGTCACTGTTCTTTTCCAGTCATTCCTAGTTCCCTGCTTCCATTGACATACCAGATTATGTGTCTTGTGGTTCCTGGCTGCATGAAGAATTCACATGTGGCTTGTAAAATCAGAAAGACTGGCCATTCCTGGGTAAGAAAACTTTATTAACATGCATTTGGGTGTACTTTTTCTGTGAACAGACACACACATGCACAGAGATACACATATTGGAAAGAACAGGTGTACATGGTCTCTGATTAGTCCATATAAACAAATACAGGATGCAGGATGATTCAAAATAATAACAACTTTGATTTCTGTATCACAGAGTTCTAAAGAGATTTCATTCATCACAAACATTCTCACCCAGCTCTAGCTCCACAGACATATCTGAGATAGGGATTTAAAAATATCCACAGTAAAGTTTTCTGCTCAGTATAATGTTATAATTTTGAAGCGTAAAATTGCCTGGCTCATTTAAACCAGTAGCCAGTGCTATGCATCACCTGGATCCTATGAGTTTCTCTTTTTCAGTAGGCTCATGAGAGTGGTTCTTCACTTTCTTTAAGACAAGGACCACCTAACTTTTTAGGATAAAGAACCTTACACCAATTATATTGCTGCTGCCACAGTAGTTTCATTTACAGCAGCTAAACACCAGACACTTCCATACATCCTTATTTTCTCCATTTTTTTCTCCTTACTGCTGTGGCGTGAGAATATGTAGGGCTTGTTATTTTTAATAATGCTTATAACTGGTATGTGGATGATTGTCTGAAGTTTTATGGACCACTAGATGTCCTCAGCTAGTGCGGAAAATCACTTGTGCAGTGCACTCCTCTCTCCTTGTGAGTTTATCTTAGCCATCAGCACTGTAGGATGAACTTTTCGGTACTCTCTGACCTCTTGCCAGCATAATTGCAAGGAAGAAATGTCACATTCGTATGAGGCTGGGGAAAATATTTATTTAGCAGGTGCATACGTGTTGTTTTTATCCGCTGATGGTAGGGGCAGCACAGCACTCTGGAATGTATGTTGTATTTATGGAGTGGATTAATGGGCAGAGTAAAGGTTATTGTCTTATAAACACAGCTGATCACATGCATCTGCCATTTCTCAGTGCCTCCTTATAAGAGATGGGATGGGAAAAAATAATCTGTAATAGAGGCCTCAAATGAAGCCATATTTAGACACTGAGCTGATTTCTTCAAAAGTGCTTCTCCTAAATAATTCTTACAGGTCAATAGAAGCCACCGTAATAAAAATCTGTGTATATGCATGCCATGTATCATGGATCACTTCATCTGTGATTGAATTCTGCACAAACTTGTGGCAGATGTTTAACACACAATGTCACAGCAGCTCTCTGCAAAATATTTCAGCAGGACAGGAAGAATGGCATGAACCTGTAAGAAGGTTTTAGTTAGGGAAGATGCAATTACCAAGATGGTGTCTAGGACACTAGGGCAAACCCTCTTGCTTTTGGAAATTTAACAGCTTTAAACACCTGATAGCCTTATGTATGTAAGTATGTATGTATTTTATTTATTTATTTGCCAAGGAAACAGATCGTTCAAACTAAAACAGGCAGCATTTCCTAAGCAAGCAAACAAACAAACAAACAACCTTAGAAAATAAATAAAGAAAAAAAAAGTTTTTTCTCTTGTGACACCTTAGTGGGAAACCATGACACATTCACCACAGAACCGCACTTTCTGGGCTGCAGGTCAGCTCTGCCAACATCGTGTTTGAAGTTGATCAATTGTAAAAAGTGGAACTCCACAGGGAGAACAACACAGGGGGTCCAGGTTAGAGCAGTGCAGAAACAAAAGAGGAACCTATCTGCATGAAAGACAATTAAGAGTGTTTAGCTATTAAAGCAAGTATATGCACTAGCAATTATTGATGACCTTGCAAATATCCACATCCAACAATCAAATGGTTCAGCACACTAATTTTTTAGGTATAATTGAAATGACAGTACTGCAATAAAACAAGCAGAGGAAAATTGATACCTGAAAGCAAGCACCTTGTGTAGCACATATCCTTTCAATCTCCAGAGGAATTTTGTTGACTAGGGCTACCCATTAAATTTGCCACATGGATGGAGCAAATAATCTCCCACAGCAGTTCACAATCTTTGGAATAAGTCAGTTCTGATATTGCTAGGGTGCAGAGTAATGGGCTAGGTGATTTCTTAGGTTCCCTTCCAGGCCAACATTTCTGTGACATTAAGGCACATCTCGGAAGCGTGTAAGCAAGAATCAGAAAGATAATGGTGGATGAATGAAACGTACTAGAGTACATTCTCCAAGAAACCAAAGCTATCCTCCAAAGGGATACTTACCAACAGTTTGCACAGGAGCTGCTTAAATAGAAGGAAGTACCATCCTGAAAAAAAAATGAAAGAGTGCAGAGGAATTCTTTTCTTGGCTACCCTGCCCAAATGAAACAACTTTCTCTGGTTGCTACTGACAGGAATTTGTTAAAATGATGTATACCTGAGTTTATATTTGTTTTTATACAAAATATAAAGCTAGTGCAAGGGCTGTTCTGGGGGACGTTCTATCCCATTTTCAGCTAAGGTTGTGTTGCATGTGGGATGCATTATCTCAGTCAGAAAAAAATCGGAACTATATATTCCCCAAATGTACACACTGGTCAGATGATGGTACCGTGGGAGCTAGACTATGGATACTGAGTACTATATGGCCCCAAATCACACACGCATCATACTAAAAATGGGAAGGAAAGGGATCAAGCAGGTATGCTTGTACCTCGTTAGCAGCATGCCAAGGTTACAGTGTACCATGGATATCTGATGTGGTCTCTCTTCTGCTGTGCAGCCCCTACTCAGCTGCATAAGACCTTAAACAGTGCTGCTATCATTTCCCTAATGCTCTGATTCCTTATGTTTCAGAACATACCTCCTTGCCTCTAAGAGAGAACAGTTGTGAGGTTTGATAGAAAGGCATGCACCCATGCTGTCGATCCAATTCACAGGTCAGCAAAGAAGCCCTGACCTGATTTAGTATGGAATTACACTTAGTGCATCCAGTATGTTGATTGTGCCATGGTGAAGCAGATCAAAGCTTCAGCGTATTGTTTGTTCAGTCAGGTCTGCTGCCTCACTTGAAGAACAGGAATGTGCTAGACATCCATTGTATAAAAACAAAATATCATTATTACAGTGTTGCTAAACAATGATGCATCTCCCTTTCTGTATAGTCTGTTTAACAAAAAAGTGCAATTTACAACATGAACAAAATAATGAAATATTCCATGTTTCAATGTTTCTCTGTTGAGCACAGTAATGAAATAAAGACTGATATGTTTTATGTGCTCAGTTGATGATTAAACTCAGACACTAATTAGATTTTTGTTGTTATTTTTGGCTGTCACACATGAAAAAAACATAGCAGAAACCTTCTTTTAAATAATAAATCTTTAAAAACTCGTGCATGTAGAAAAGAGGCAATGACTTCACATGGTTAGCTGCTTGTTGATTTAAGGTAGTTAAAGGAACTAGTGCAAAACTACTCAACCTCATTCTCTTCTGCTGTAAACCAAAGCACTTCCACTGCAGGTTAGTGGAGATACAATAAGCAGGCGATTAGGACCTGTAGTGCATGTATGAGAATTTCCAATTGAAAACACAGGCATGAAAACTTTTCCTTTGCCCTATCTGTTCTGTACACTTATTTCCAATATTTTGTCATTGAAATGAATTTTGTCATTGAAATGAAAAGAACATTAGTAAGCACAGTCAGCAAGCAGAAGGATACTACCTTGTCTCATTGTCAGAAATCTCTTTTCTGACCTACTACTGAATTCACAGTCATAGCTAATTAAGATGCAATAAACACAAGCTGCATTTTCAGCCAGGGCCTTTACCTTTCTTTCTGAAATTCTGACATTCAACTCTAAGACCAGTATCTGCCCTATTATCCAAAAAAAAACCTGTTGCTGAACATTTAAATAACCCTTCAACAAAATTCATAGGACATTATGAGTCCTGGTGACAAAGTATTTGAAGCACATATTTCACTTTAAATGTCCATTTAAGCAGTGGGGTATTACAGAACTGATGTGAAAATGCAAAGATTCTTCCTTGCTCTTCTGGGACAGCAATGCATCAACAGTCATCGTCACCCCTAATAAGGAGAAGCACCCCTTCTCCTCTTGAAAGAAAAAGACCCCACACTACTTCACATGTCCATGACAAACTTACAGCCTTTTATGCACAACCCATGTCATCCTGGTCAGAAAGTAATTCTGCAAGTAACCTTGCAACAAAACAAAAAGTTGTAGCTCAGTGTCATTGGTCTGATTTGAAAGTCACAAGCACATGGGAAAACTGTTGTGCAATTTTTCTGATTAAAGAAAAACACTACACTTAAAAAAATGTAGGTTAGTCTGTTCTAATCACAAGTCGAGTTTAAAAATAATCACACGAATTGTCCAACTGCTCACCTATATCTCAACGTGGTGAGAAGCTTGTTACAGAGCGGTCCAGTCATAAACACACCGAATGCATGACTAGCAGCACTTGCCAAGGTTGACACTTATCTGGCTTCAGCTGTGTAAAAATGCCTCTGACATCAGCTGGAGCAAGTTTTATTCCTCATTACATCACAAACCCAGGAGAGAAAATCTCTTCTTGTGACTCTCTTGCATGCATCTGGAAACAGGTTCCAAGAGCAATTTGCTGAGCATATTTGTCTCAGCATATAGAAACAAATCATCGCTGTTTTTTTGCCATTTGGGGGCAAACATTATTTACATCTGATCACTGTAGCTCTTAATGGGAAAAAAATAAATGCTCTAAACCATCCTGACATTGCGTGCAGTGCAGGATGTATTACTTCCTTACTTCAACTGCTGTGTGCACAACTGACATGCACATGCATGCGCATGTTGGCTCTTCCTGCCCAAGATAAACCTTGGCTTGTTTAGATTCAAGATGAAAAGTAGTATTCCACCATTGCACAATGTCCTAAAAAAGCTGACATTTACAAAGCTCTTACCAAATGTGTTCATTAAACATCACGTGCATCTTATGGCTATATGCAGCAGTATAATTTAGAGTGTATATTTTATAGGTTTCTTTTTCTGTTTTACCCACTGATTATTATGTGCTGTAAAACCTCAGTTATCCAAACTAGTCAGGGGAATGAAAAAGGGAAATAAAAAGTAGGTGATGGAAAAGTCTGTTAATAAATGCCACAGAAAAAGCGGTCCACACAATGTCAAGAGGTGTTATTAATGCCCTTTCTCTTCTTACAAAAACAATCTTAGTATGAAAAAAGTACTAAAAGCAACTAAATAGTTTACCTCTTTTGTAGCACGTTCTTACAAGCAGCAGGCATTTTTGAAAACTGTAGATGAATGCACAGCAAATTTTATCCTAATTTACACTGCAAATTCAAAGTCCTAGATGGAGTAGCATAGCTGAAAATAACAAGTGAATTTTTACGCAGCTGATAATAGGAATGACTTGAAAGATGCAAGAGTATATCTGGAAACATGTACTCATAACAAGCTGAACTACCCAGATCTTCCATGGTGGGCAGACATACAGAGTTAACATGGCTGCTGATATAAATGGAAACTTTCCCAAATAATTTCAGCTTTCTCCATTTACAATCCAGTAATACTTGGCACCCAAGTGCTGTTACTTATGCTCTGAATAGCTGTAAGCAAAAAATTTTGTACCTGATAAAAACCACAGATGTGCCTGGGAATTATTTTTAGTTGTCAGATCTGTAAAAATGAGATGGTGCTATGAGTCACCCTGCTTTAAGGAAAAAAAAAGGATATGCAAAGACATAACAATATAAAAAATCCCAACAGTACACTGACATGTCCAAGAACAGCATTACACACATAGAGGTGCTGTTTTGTTTTTTTTTTTAAAGTGTTCATCATTTTCTCATGTCCAGTGATTTTTAGTGCACATTAAACTTCACCGAATCCTGTAGAGTTCACATGTGCTAACTAGTGTTTTTTAAGGCTAGTAATTTCTCACTGAAGTGTTTCCAGTTGATTTGGCCTGAACTCATTCCAACAAAAGTTTTTGTATTTGTGAGATCACTGTCATCAATATACACCTTAGCGTGATGTCCTTAAGGGTCCAATCCTGCACAGAAGTTTCTCAATGCTGAGGAAACCCAGCAGATGCTTGTAACCTCTCTGGTACAGGACAGACCAATGCTTGCTTTCGAGCAGTTGGCTTCTTTGCAGCAGCTTGTGTATTCATCCTGATTCGCTTCTTCCCTGAGTAGTAATCTAGAGAATAACATGCAAACAGACAGAATTACGACTGTGATGCTAATAAGGGCTGCTTCAAAGAAATCTCTCGAATCTTGTTTTTGTCATTTAGACTCCTCTAAGGCTAGTGAATGGATAAAACTAATACTTTTAGTATGTTCCATATAAAACTGTGTAATACCAAGCAAAACAAAGGAAATGTGCTGGCTTTTATCCAGTTTTGATCAAAAGACTCTCGGCTCTATTACACAAGATGAGCAATGTGACATTTCACTCCAGTTTTTAGATCTACTGCTATAGTGCTTTCCAGTCAGAAATAGTTATTTTTTCCTCCTTAAACATTAAAAAAAAATAAAAATTAAAAAAAATCACCAAGAAGAAGCATCTTTATGGACCACTTTATTTCTGCTTATTAGATCAAATGTGGATTCAGGGAGGGCTGCATAAAACCTTGCACTGCTACTAAATTATAACTCATTCTTCACTCAGATAGTAAGTACTCAAGAACTCAAGGAGAGAGCACTCCTTTTTCATACAGTCTTGTGGTTGAGTTTCTGTTTTCAGGGGCAAATATAAGTCAGTATTAACTACAGAATTACAAATACAACAAAGGGTTTATATAAAAATTAACCTCCTGCCTCCCATCCTCACACTGAAAAAAATACTCCTTTCAGGTAGATAGGGCTAAATTAGCTGAAATAGAAGACAGATGCTTATTTATGTTTAGAACTGATGGGGTTTACCTGGTGTCATTTATTCGTATCCAATAACAAAAGTACTGTTTAAACTAACTAAGGATATGGGCTTCACAATGTTTAAACCTGAATTTGTGTAGAGTCAAATCGGCAGCACAGACATAATACCAAGTATTATTGGTAGGATGACTGGAAATGTATCCTCCTGTGCAGGAGCAAGCAGAGCTAACTCTGAAGAAGAGCAATAATCCACTGCACTCTCTCAGGAGAGAAAAAGAATAGCAGAAAGTAATGTAATCCTTATTACGCCCATTTATAAGACTTCTACATAGCTATCTTTCATTTTATTTGGGGAAAATAAATGCATGAAGGACATGCTTAGCAGGTGAAAGTCAGACAATCGTTATTCCCATTTCTGCCTATGAAGAATTCAGCTAGAGGCCAGCTGCTATGTGCTCACATGCCTCATAGCTGAGACCAGTTTCAGAACTGATGGAAGCATGTAATAGGGGGATACAGATTCCCCAGAGCCATATTTAAAAGGTCCAGCCTTTCTCTAAGACACTATACAGAGTCCATGGAAGTTAACTACTCCACCAAGGGCCTCTGAAGAGCAGTTCCTGCAGCCCATCAGTAGGAAAACCTGAGTGCAGGGACCTAGGAGGGAATAATTTCTGTTTAAACATACTTTCCTAAATACCGGATTTCCTTTCATCTCCATTTTGTCCCATCTGCCTTGCAGAAGATGGGACTTTAGAACTGTTTCTGAAGCAGTACCAGCTAGTGAAAATGCTAGATTGTTAGGAATTTTCTCAACTCTGACCTTTAAGCAAAGGAGACTTAAAACCTCTCCAAGAGCAGCCAAGGTTTGAACCAGACTGACACAAGCCAGCAAGTTAGGAAAAGAAGTGTAGAGGTGGTGTGGTTCACCAACCTTTGCTATTGAAAAAAAATAATAAAAAGAAAGGGAAAATATGAAGAAGACTTATAGCCTGTAGCTGATCTGTTTTTGAACTTGAGGCTCTCCCAGAAAACAGTAGAACTAGATTGGGACCACAGTGAAAAAAGAATGAGGAGGGAGCAGTGTACATAAAAGGGGTGGAAGATAGAAGGAAAAACCTACCTTATGTGTTGGTTAGCACTCTGCATGTTTAAGGAGTCAAACAGAGCAGGAAAACCTCTGCTCCTTCCACTTTGGAGGCACCAACATCCACAAAACCCCACAGCTGACTTTTAATATGCTGATACTTATTTAATGACCCACAGCTGTCTTTTAAAGTCTAAATTAAACACACATTGTTGGACCTTAATGTAAAGCATCGCAGTGTTTTTGTTGACTGAAGGAGAATGCAGCTATGCAGATAGCTGTGCTCAGATCCAACCACAGATCTCAGTGCTAAATGAACTTCACCAGAGGATGGTAGAAGCTGATTGAATGGGCAGAAGCAATGGGTCAGAGTGTATTAGTAGATATTAGTTTCCCATAAAATTGAGTTCCCATAAATCTGAGTTTTGCCTGAATTACTTCAGTTTTACCCAGAAGTTTTCTGATGCTAGAGGGAAACTTCTAAAGCATAGTTCAGCTGGCAATATGAAGGCTGTAAGTTTTTGTGTCTGTCTGTTACTCTGTGTGAAGGAATGAGAGAGAGACTGATCTCCAACTCTCACCAAAAAAGACAACTGCAAACTATTTTCTTGGCCCATTTCATAGACCCAGATTCCTTGGGAAGAAGGGTACTGATATTAGACTAAAGTGTTTTCTTTTATGAAAATATATGTGGGAAAGCGTTAAACTGTGTAGCATAGTATTTTGGTTTCCATATTCCCTGTTGAAATGTTTCTTGCCTGAGGAAAACAAAACGGAAGAAAAACATCCCCTGGAAATATCTTCATAATTTACTCCCACACACCCAGTGAAAGATTTACAATTGAACAGCAGTTCCCTCAAACCATCACAACATTGTACTCTGAATTACTCTTCTGTACTCCTACCTGTAAATTATACTGTTAATTAGTTAATGGCTGTAAAGTGCTTTGGAGAAGAAAAGAGTACTCATTAAATATCACTGCTCTGTATGCTAGTGTACAGTGTTCACTCTTCATTAACCACCAATCTCACCCCGAACTTCTCTCTACCAATTAAGTTTCATACCCTCAAATAGCAAATTATTCTATTCCCTGATTTACTGTGATCAAAATCGCTGTTCAGAAAGTGTTTCCTGAACCTTAGCTTCAATTATCTCCAAGGCTATTTCAAGCTGGTGTCTTACATCAAATTCCAAGAAGGAAATCTTTGGTCTAGGTCTTGAAAACTTCAGACTTGGATTAACAAAATCCTCAAAAAGGACATGGAAAATCTAATATATGGGATTAGATTTTTCAAACAAGCTCAAATTCCTGTTGAGAACAGTAAAGGGGGCAGGGATGGGGGGGAATTCCCAAAAAATCTTGGTATGCAGGATGCTGAAGACTTTCAAGAACCAAAAGCTCTTTTATGGGTGCTGAAACTCCTCTGTTTTTACATCTGGCAGTAAGTTCTGCTCAGTGGCATTTGAAAACCTAGCCTCTTCTGCCACCTGGCCAAGTTTAACAATGATCTGCCCTTACATTTTTCAGATGCCTTCACTGAGAATAATATCCAAGCTGAAGTCAGAAGGTGAACTGATTCCCACTTGAGAAATAACTCCACTGCTTTTCTCACACTAACCCTCCTAACCATCCCAATCAAGTCGTCACTATCTTACTGCTCTGGTAGGTCCTAAAGGGACCCTGAGGGCCGGGAGGTGGTTGTGGCCCAATACCTCTGAAAAACACATCACACGCCCATTTATTTATATTTTATTTTCTTTCAGATGCTCCTTTAAAAGGCTGCGTTTTTTTAAAAGCAAGGCCAGTGCATGTTCCTGCCATAGAATTTCTTGTTTGGAACCAGGTTTGGTCATCAGAGTAACACCAAGACCTCTCATACCTGTTAAAGACGTCTGCCTTCTTCTCTTTCCTTCTGGGACCTTCCCAACTGCTGTTTGCTTGGAAGCCTTTGGTTTCTCTGCCAGTGCTGTCAGGGTCAACCGGTGAGCCTTTTCCTCCCTGCACAGGGGCCGGTTCAGGTGCCGCAGTGGCCTCCGGCTCTCTCTCACCACGCAGCTGTGATAGAAGGTCGGCACCTCATGGCCCCTCAGCTCTTCCCACTGCAGGAATCCTTCCATTGGCACATCCTGTAGGAAATCGAAGTTCCACTTCTGCTGGGCCCTTTCGATGTTGCTGCGCAGCATGTGCTGGAAGTCCCAGTGCAGCTGCTCGTGGTCTACCGGGCCGAAGAGATTCCGCTGGGTGTGCACTATCTTCCCCAGATGCCGTTCCATCTTTTCTCCCTGGTGCTGCTCTCTGGCGAGCGTACCCAGCAGCGATTCCCTGCCAAGGACAGAAAGACCATCATCTGTGTGTGGCAGTAAACACAAATCCCTTCGATTCTGCTGTGAAGAGTCCTGGTTTATTTTGGATGAAATTCATCCCAGTATCTAGACCAGAGGGAAAATTCCCATTGACTTCTATTGGATTTGTCTGTGGCAGCAGCTTTGACAGGGAACAGGTAAAGCTGAAATGCCTTCACCTCTTCTGTGCATCCATATTCCAGGGTATCCCAAGCAAAAGTTTGCCCTATGGGGAAAGAGCTGTACAAGGAAGTGGAGGCAGTGACTGTTATTTTTCTTTGTTGTGCTTTGTTTACACTGCCTAGCAGTGAGCAGTCTTGCTTATAGGACTTGGACTCCTAGGAGCTGCTGTAGTATGAACGGAGGCAAAAGAGAGAGCGTAGAGGTGGGAGTTGAGAAAACTGCCAAGAGCATCTTTTTAAACAAAGGAAATGTACTGAAAAGGAGGACTTCTAGAACAAATAATGGAGATGGCAAACAAGAAAATATACAAACTAGCCTAGTTTTACAGTGGAGGTAGTATTACTATCCCAACTACTCTAACCGTTTATTTTACAGCATCAGCCAGTTAGAGGACAAAGATGACCAGAGATATCACTTGGTTGTTGCCTGATACTTTTATTCCTATTTCCTGAAGCAAGTGCTTGAGAAATGTCCCAGTCCAGACAACAGGATCTCATTTCTGGTATCAGCAAATCCCACTCAAGCATTGGGCAGGCCAGCATGTGGGCAAGGGGAAGGTTTGTATCTTCCCCTGGCAGGTAAGGTGGAGACATGGCAATGATGAGGAAATAAATCGGGCATTTTGCAATTTCACAGACCAACAAGGGCTGGTACATACATTTACCAAGTATGTTCACCTAGTAATTTCTGCTCAAAATCTCAACTTCTGGAAGAGCTTGAAAATAGATCTTCAGTGTCTTTCATTCTTTCTCTTTTTGCACCCCAAAACTCAGTCCCTTCTCCAAAGCTGCAGATGCATTGCAGAGGACAGGCTAAGAAACTTTAGAGAAACATTAGCAAACAGCCATGTTTTGGATCTGTTGCACTACTGAATTCTGAAGGGCATGAAGAATTTAGAGATTGAACTAAGAGAGTTTAGCAACTATCTGCAGACCATGCAGATAGTTAAAAATGGAGCAGCATAGCTTTTGCAGAGGCACATGTATAGGTTTGGTCTCCAACATCCCAAAGGGTGCTTCCACCGCAATAGACACAAACCCAGATGCAATTTGTGTAACCACCCTTCCCTATTATTTCTGCAGGTCTGCATCTAATCTAAGCAAACTCTGAGCATCCCATTGCACTCATGCCCCAGTGCCTGACTGTCACTTTGTGACTACAGAATCAAGAGCTTGTCAGCAACAGGCTGCTGTTGGCGCAGAGATTGTTTTGCACACCAACTGCAGCAAAAAGCTCAGGCAGTGAGGGGATGCAGTTGCCTCATTTCAGGTGGAAACTGAGCATCAGTTCTGCAGGTGATAATGCTGAGTAGTAGAGCACTAGTGAGGAGGATGGGCTCTTACATCCATTTCTGAACCTTATTCCTTGCCCCTAGTGGCTCTGAAATAGTGGACCACGGATGCATGGCCCACAGTCATTGGAAACTGAAATTGGACCTCCAGGTGTAGGTCGCCCTTCTGGTGCGTGTATTTATTTCCAAATATGTGTGGAAGGCTGATGGCTCCCAAATACAGAGACAGGAACATGTGAGTGTTAGGACAGAAAGCAGTGCAGTTTCATGCAATTATGGTGTCTCCCTGGCTCCAGCTGGCTCCTGTCAGTGCTACTGCATCATGCCACATTGTGACTATAACCCCAGCAGACGCTCCTTGCTCCTCTGTGGTCACAGCAAAGGCTTTGGGAAAGCACTTTCTCAAGAAGCATCTGAGAGCATGCCAACAAGAATAATCCTTGAGGAGGCATCCACAATCCCAAAACTTAACATAAACTTTTCCCCGATTTGTGTGTAAACTTGCCCTCAGCCATGGGGATGCTCAGTGGTGCTGGCTGTCACTACAGCTAACAACAATCACACTGCTGCTGTGCTGCTTTTTCATCTGGTGCCAAGACGCCAGCAACCTAAACTAAGCTCATTGAAAGGCAATCCATCAGTCTCAGGAAGGCACAGCCAGTGCTTTGAAGGAAACGTGCACTAGGAATTGCATTACAAATTGGCATTTTGGAAAGAGCCAATCAGGGCCAGGAAGAAAGAAGATGTTCATCAGGCATTTGCGGCCTCCACTATTTTTTTTTTAATTTATTTTAATAGCGCATATGAATGAACAAGGAGATAATCTGTCTTACTCTGTTCATGATTACAAGAACACGGGAAGAGCTGCTCCAGGGCAGACTATGAACCATGTGTCTTGTCTTTAGGGCTGTTTAATTCCAGGTGTTTCAAAAGAAGATAAAAAGCCTGCAGAGAGGATAATTATAGAATAACCTTTCCCTACAGAAAGTTTCCTCCTAATGCTCTTAATTATGTAATGAATCACACATGCTTATAACTCTCCTAAACTTACATCATGTGTATATGTGGACCGTTGCTGTTTCCATTACTCATAGTCACATCCAGGGTTAATCCTGGCCCAGCTGCAGTTGGTGCAGGCTTACTGCTGCAGAGCTCGGATGCTTTTTGCAGGGCTCTTTCCAGGTCTCACTCCAGGGCTGCACTATCACTATTCCCACATGCTGGTCTGAGCTGCACGGCTGCGTTAAACACCTGCAGAACCTGACTGAAACCCTTCAGAAATGCAGAAACATTACTGGTAGGGTCTCCTTTCTTGATCCACGTTTATTGTGACACCCAATAAGTTGCAAGCCCCGCGCTGCCAGCGTTAGACCTACCCGTACAAGCGCTGCTCCTACAGGCAGGATGAGGGAAAGAAAGCTACAGGGAGCTCTCCGCTGGAGGTGGAAGAGCTGCGTTACGGGCTAGCTTCAGCGGAAAGAAACACAAACTTCCTGAGGTGCTTGCTTCTCGGGTCATGCTTTCAGAGTACGAGAGGAGCAGTAGGTAGCATTTCCGGACTTCCCACATACACACAGTTTAAAAACATATAAGTGAACTGACAGATCATAATTTGGGAATGGATGCTGTGGATTTTTATTTTTTTTTTCATTCTTCCGATGAAGGTCTGTCCTAATTTTGACCCCGAACGAGCGTCGCCAGCTATGAACGTTGCTTTCCAGCACCCCGCTTGCCTGCGGCAGCTGCTCACACACCTCGATACAGACCCTGCTGCAGAAGGACAGACCTCCCGCACAGGGTGCACAGGCAGCTCCGACCCCGCCACGCACGGCCACGGACAGCCGCTCTCCGCCACCGCAGCCCCCACCCGCTCCCTCCCGTCCCACCGCCGTCGATGGGCGGAGCTCACTTACATGCGGGGACACCCCGAGTGCTGCCGCCCGCGCTCTCCTCCGCACGTCCCGGGGAAGGGGTGTCCCCGGCGGCGGCGGACGACGAGGAAAGCAGCCGGGGTCGCAGCTGCCGCCGGGCTCGTATTGCGGCGCGGCGCGGCGTAGCCCGGCTCCCGCCCTGCCCCGCCTCACGTGCCGCCGGGCAGGGCTGGGCTGAGCCGGGCGCCTCGCCAGGCGCCGTCGCACGTGGCTCCGCAACGTGAGAGCCCCGCAACGTGAGGGCCCCGGGCGGCTCCGGCCAGCTCGGCGAGGCCGTGGAGAGCCGGTCGGCCTCCGGCTGGCGGGGCTGCGTCTCTCGTGTGGGGAGGAGCGCGGGGCGGCTGCGAGACTGAGGAAAGGGTCGCGTGGAAAGTGGGTGTTTCTAGTGTCAGAACTTCTCAGGTGAATGGGCAAAATGGGAATTTTTGCCCCCCAAGGATGAGGTGGCTGAAGACAGAGAGGCTGGGCTGTGAGGATGGGGATGCAGGTTATGTTTGCACAGAATCACAGCGTGGCTGAGGTTGGCGGGATCTCTGGGCCCATCTGTCCCAACCCCTGTTTGAGCAGGGCTGCCCAGAGCAGGGTGCCTAGTCCTGTGCCCAGGCAGCTTTTGAAGATCTTTGTGGAGGAGACTCCACAGCCTCTCCGGGCAACCTGTGCTCTGTCATCCGCACAGCACAAAAGTGCTTCCTCATGTTCAGAGGGAACCTCTTGCATGCCAGTTTGTGCCCATTGTCTCTTGTCCTGGCACTGGTCCACTGAAAAGAGCCTGGCTCGATCCCCTGTGCACCTTCTTTTTCTGTTTATGGGTTTTGCTCAGATACCCCTGAGCCCTCTCCGGCCTGAACAGGCCCAGCCCTCTCAGCCTCTTCTCATAGGAGAGGTGCTCCCACACCTCAGTCACCTTTTGTGACCCTTTTTCTTGGGTGTGAACAATAGTCAAGGTCAGGAGACTTGTGCCACCCTGTGCATCTGCTGTCCTTCTCGGCAAGGTGGCCCTATCTGTGAGGTGGCTGTCTAAAAACGACTCTGAGAGAGATCAGTCTGCAGCACGTGTTTATATATCATTGTGATAGATGATGTATTTTCCTGAGCTTTAACAGTATGTAGCTTTTCACAGAAGGAAAGTGTTTTCAGTGTGTGAAGAAGGCTGAACAACCCCTCTGTGATAAGGCAGGCTTGCATTGCTTTCTGCATTTTTCAGGTTAGAAAACATAGGTGAGAAGTGGGGTGGCATTTTGTTAGCACTAGAGCACTTTGGTATTTCCATTTCTGCATTTGAAAGGTCTGCTTGTTTGTATTGCTCTGGGCTCTGTTTCATGTTGTTCATGAGTTGGAAGAGAGAGAGAAACTGGAGAAAAGTTACAATTTACTTCAATTTACAAACCAGAAAAGCTATGATTTTCTTAAATTCATTTACAAACCAGAAGGAATAGCATTAATGATCAGACAGACTTATCTAGGCAGTGTCAGGGGCAGATGTGAGGATGACTTTGAACTGTTCCCATCAGAGCATTCCACAGCTCTCATCAGTCTGCCTACCATCTTATGTCCCAACCTCCGTACCAGTGTCCCATAACACCCATAGACATCCTGACCCACCACATGCTTTAGCCCACCAGCCTTAAGCCATTGTGCTCAGCAAAGGGAATAATGCTGTGGTTGTGTTTCTATAGTAGGAAGGTAACAATTGGGTGAAAATATGAACGCAGAACGCTCACATTTCAGCCCACCCACTCTTGGCCTGGGCTTTTAAAGAAAATGTGTTTTAAACATTTTTATAACTGTGTGTTTTGAGGCAATATTGCTTTTTAATGTAGTCTAGGTAATTTCCTACTGAGGTAACAAAGCCATTTATGTCATTGTTTTGTTTTACAGACAGTTGAACACTTTGGAAACAGAACTCTGATTTTTTCTTAATGGATTTTTTGGAGGAGGACAGGGAAGAAGTTCTAATTAATAATATATATTTGCCTCATAACTGTATGTAGTCATGCTTATCTTAGGCACTTGGATGTGTTTGTGCCAAATGCTATGAATCATCCGTTTAGCTCTTTGAAATCACTATCTGAGGTTTCATAAGATTACAAAGGCGATTCATATTTATACATCTCCTGATGGTGATCCTTGTGGCATGAAGTTCAGTGAGACCAAGTATTGGGTCCTGCACTTTTTCCACAACAGCCCCGGGGCAGAGTGGATGGAAGGTTGTGTGGAAGAAACGAACCCAGGGGTGTTGGTCAATGCTTGGCTAAACATGAGCCAGCAGTGTGCACAGGTGGCCAAGATGGCCAATGGCATCCTGGCTTGTATCAGAAATAGTGTTGCCAGCAGGAGAAGGGAGGTAATCGTCCTTCTGTTCTCAGTTCTGGTGAGTCTGCACATCAAGTACTGTGTTCAGATTTGGGCCTCTCACTAGAAGAAAGACATTGAGGCCCTGGTGCGTGTCCAGAGGAGGGCAGTGAGGCTGGTGATGGGTCTGGGGTCTTATGAGGAATTGGGACTTGTTAGTCCGGTGAAGTCAACACTCTGGGGAGACCTTACTGCTCTCTAGAACTACCTGAAAGGAGGTTGTGGTAAGGTGGAGGTCAGCCTCTTTCTCCCAAGTAACTAATGGTAGGATTAGAGGGAGTGGCCTCATGTTGCATCAGTGGAGGTTCAGGT